TGCACTTGTTTCCGGTCCCCCAAACAGGAAGAAGCCATATAATAAACATCTTATTAGCCTCGCTTTTTCGGTCCATACTGTAAATTAAGGATCCTCGTTTTTTTCCATCGATTTATGGCCCGCGCGCTTCGCGCTTGGGCCATAAATCGATGGAAAAAAACTCGGTCCGTAATTTACAGTACGGACCGAAAACTCGGCTAATAAGAGGCATATATGCGGGTATTTTTCTTAATCTTAGCTACTTTGGCGACGAAAGTACACAGGAGCCCATAACCCTGGCGACGAGCAAAATTGACAATAATTAGCGGATTGTAATGTTTGCATAAAATTGATCGACTGTTATTAAAGGGAAAAATTATTCACCTAGTGCTTTTAAGCATCCGTGTCGAGACAGACAGCGCCATTTCGCGCACTACTCTCTCACACGAAGGCAGAAGAAATAAGATGGAAAACAACTCGGTCACCAGAAGCTCTACTAACACTTCTACATCCCCTACGATGACGTATACTCCATCCAAAGCACAAGGAACAGAAGTGGTTACCGCCTTTATGTTTCAAAGTGCCATAATTGTCATGGGTAATATGCTGGTAATAATTCTCTTTGCACGGGAAAAGAAGCTTCGCAAGAAAAGTTTGTTCTTAGTTATGAACATGGCCCTCGCTGATGTGTTGTTGGGAGCGGTGTCTCTGCCTTTGTTTGTTTATTTGTTGGTAGGACCCTACTATCACTTATGGGGACGTTTCTGTTTACGGCGGTACCAAATAAGATGAGTAAAAGAACTATGATGGAAGAGTGTCAGGAGCGATTAAAGTCGTCGAAAATATAGGACACTTTCTAAAATACGTGTCTATTGGCAACTTAAACACAAAACATTGACAACACGAGCGTATAGCATTGTTATTTTTATGGTCTGGTCTCTGGCTATCCTTGTTTCAACTGTCTTTCTCGTTTCTCGCTACCTAGGGTCATATAAAGCAGCTACCTTGTCTTGGATGTCATTCCCCTTGAGTTTCCTGTTCATCGTTTGTGTATGTAATATCAGTATATGGAGAAAAGTTCGAAAGAGAATTAACGCTTTACAACAGCAAAACCGAGCAGCATCCCAAAACCACCGCTTGACAAAAACTTTGCTGTTTGTATCCGCCATTTCTGTTCTTTCCTGGCTTCCTTTAGTCATTGTTAACTATCTGACTGCTATCCAGCGGTTCGATATCGCTCCATTGTTTGTAGATATCATAAATATTCTTAATCTTTCCAACTCCATTTTAAATCCACTTGTCTATGCATTAAGAATCCCTGAGTTTAGACAAACACTTATTTCGTACTGTTCACGACGCCAGGCCGTAATAAATAGGCCGCTTAAAGAAAGAAAGGAAAATATGGCTGCCGTTTTGACGCCTGGGTTGCAGCTGAAAACGTTACATCCTGATTCCAGTCAAGTACAGCAGACCTTCAGACAAAAGACAATGGACACTAAGTTATGACCAAACTGCCCGTTTTATATGCATTATTGATATATATTGTAAATACACTATTGACTATCCGTTTCATGGAGGAACAACTGTTTCAGTAAATAGCAACAGCGAGTGTGATAACCGTAAACATCACTTCACCGAGACGGCCCTTCTGAAAGTCGAATGAATGACGTTCTTAGGACTATTGATGGTCGGCAATGCAAGATGTTGTTGTGTCATGCTTGATCTCTCAGCCGCATTTGAAACCCTAGACCATGCATACTGTACTTTTGTATAAACTGAGTAGTTACTTCGGTTTTTCCCAGACAGTGCTAAGATGGTTTTCTTCTTATCTTGCTAGTCGAACACAGCCTGTTATCATTGGTAACACAATATCTAGCGGTCGGAGATTAGAATTTGGAGTTCTACAAGGTTTGATACTCGGTCCTTTCTTGTTTACTCTTTATTCAAGACATAATCTCTGCTCATAACCTAGACTGTATGTTCTATGTAGATGATTCTCAACTTACATTACTGTTGATCCTCTTGATCAACGTCCTGCGTTAAACACCCTTCAGAAGTGTATTAGTGAAGTTATAGAATTGAACACCATCAATAAATTAGTGTGCAATCCTAGTAAAACAGAGGTCATTCAGTTTTAGTTCTCGTTTTGTTAAGAACCCAATTCTTAGTAATTTTTTGATTGGCAACGCCAGAGTACAACCATCAGACCGACTCTGTAATCTTGGTGTCATCCTAGATAGAGAGTTCAATGTTAGTCATCATATTAATGGAACATGCAAAAAGGCTATGCTGGCGATTCGATTTATTGACAGCTTGAGGAAGTATCTGAGCAAGGATCACCTCAACATGATGGTCAATGCTTTTTTATGTCTTGTTTGGATTATTGTAACAGTTTACATCGTGGCTTACGTAAGCGAGAAATAGACAAGCTGCAACGTGTTCAGAACTGTGTCTCACGCTTGGTTTCAGGAATAAGAAGATCTGACCATGTAACTCCTGTCACGAAAGACTTGCACTAGCCTTCTATTGGTGCACGCATCAATTTTAAAACACTCCTTTTAACATCTAAAATTTTAAATGATTTAGCTCCTTACTATTTGTCTTCACTCCTTCTCAAATACCACCCGACTCGTTTACCCCTCTCATCTAGTGGATTGCTTTTACAATTTCCTTCTGTTAATACCGTGACTTACAGGCGTCGCTCATTTTCATATTATGCACCGAAAATCTGGAACAGTTTACTTGATCATATCAAATACTCTGAATCTGTTTCCACTTTTTTTAAAATAATAACTGTACATAGTTCTTTTAGTTTTAATTTTCTATTGTAAGCGCATTGAGAATTTCTTTAAATGCGCCATAAAAACCTATTATTATTATTATTATTATTATTATTATTATTATTATTATTATTATTATTATTATTATTATTATTATTATCATTATTATTTTAAGCCGTATTTGAACAGTAGAAAAATATAAGCACTTGAATCTTTACTTGGCGTATTAATATTGATCAGTACCTTTTCCTTTGTTAGTATCTGATCGAAGAAGAATGACATTATGATTATAAAGTGAGGCCGTCAGGTGATAGAATTCAGTTACTATTGGTTTTTGCTTTTGAGGGTATTTCTTTACTGTGTTAGGTTGGGTAATTATAGAATTTAGTTGTCAGAACCAATTTTAGCCGTTTTTTATTAGTCTTGCATTTCAGTCTAAGTTCATAAATAGGATTCATAATCAATACTATTGTTGCTTAATTAGTTGTTTTGAATCGTTGTGAAATTTGCATCAGCTTTTTAATGTCAATAAAACTGAAATCACAAATTAAAGTTACACTGGGACATTCAATTTTTGACCAAGTCTTGATAAATGAGCGATTCTTCATTACTGTTCAAAAACATTTAAAAAAAAAACTGGGAAAAAAAGCCAAAAAACTTCAAGGTTATTTTTATCGACTACGTTGTCGTCTATCCGTATAGTAATCGGGACGAATGTCATTGTGTTACGGTGATATACAGTTTTTTTTTTACAAAGTGAGGCAAGGGTAGCCTGAATTTCATCCGACTGCTTCGAGTAGTCCCCATTTGTCATCAGGGACAGCCGAGCGAGCGAAACGCGAGCGCGCGTAATTTTAATTTGCGCTCGCGTTTCGCTCTCTTTACTATCTCTGAGGGAAAATGGGGACTACTCGTGGTCTACGGAGACTTGGTAGAATTTTAATATATCGAACGTGGACTGTTGTCATGACGTCACCGGCAGAATTTTCGACCGGTGAATTTTCCGCCAAACAGGTATGAAAAGTCGTTTAAAATGGCGTAACCAACCAGGGAAAAAAATAAAGGACTTTTAGAATGTCTAGCTCTCGAGTAAGTCACCACATAGAGCCGTTCCAAATTTCACGTACTCCTCCTCAAGTCGCTGGTGGATCCTGCACACCTGTAATAGCAGTGTTAATAGCCGTCGTGTAGGAACTCACGAAAAGAACTCAGAAGAAACTGTTCGCCGATTGAGCACAATAATACAAAGCATTTTTTTTTTGCCCACTCAGGAGCCAGCATTCGCTTGACCATTTGGAAATAGTCCGGTGAGAGTCGGTATCCAGGGGCTCTTCCCCCCATGAATGAAAACTTTCGTCGCGTCTTTTCTCCCGGCCCGACTGACTACCCCTGAGTCTCCGAGGATGCTTGCATCCAACACGGTGTGTTATAGTCTCTCAATGAATATTGATCTACGCTCACCATACTATTGTAAGAGCTACTATTTGCACGTGTTCATTTGGGAACGGAATGTGCAATTTAAAAAAGCATGGGCCAAATTTGTTTAGATATGTAAATGGTAGTGTCATTTCCATAATGCATATTCCTTTAAGCTACACTGTACTGCTGTACTGTTTCACGTATTAGGTTTGCGTCTTTTTCCTTTTAATTTAGTTTCTTTCCTTTACGAATTTAGTTTTCTTTTGATATATATATTATTTTCAGCCCGCTGTGATAGAAAATAGTTTTGAATAGTTAAAAGAACACGTATTTGTAATTATTTTTTTGTAAATAAATAAATAAAATAAAATATGAAGTAAAATAAGTAAATAATAGTAAAAAAGAATTCGATCGTGTTTTAAAATGCCATCGACATGCAGTTAGCTGGCAAAAATAGCTGAGCTGCCGCGTAATGTCGAGTAATCTGCGACAGAAGATTAGAAAAACAACCGAAACAATATCGTTGTTCTCGAATACAAAACCAGCCGCTACAAAAGGCGGGGGTCCACGGTGGATCAGCCAACTTGCAAAAGCTCACTGTGGAAAAGAGACCTGCTACGAATTCCGTCCACGCATGAGCGATGCAAACGATCTCGTAAACCGATAATTTCATAAACGGTTTCAAGGACAATGAATTACAAAGTGTCACAATTTCAAACTAACGTTCTCTGGAATAACAAGACTTTATTGAATTACAATATAATAGGTGTATCATTTCGGGAATCCTCTCCACATCTCTGAATGAGGTTGTGAACATCTGAGTTAAACAAACCTCCCGTAAACATCGCAACAGGTTCGACCTGCGTTGTCGTATTCGGTGGAATCCGCCAAATCTTCACCATACCACAAACGAAACGTTTCCCCTGAAGAGTGGTAAGGGTGATCAAACGAGAGGACAAGCGTAGAAGACAAACCGGTATAACCAGGAATGCGGGACCACTTCCTTAATTTCATGGCGCTATTGCCTGTCAGAAACCTACTCAGCGGCAGGATGGCTTTATAGCTCCAGCTGGTTGTTATGGCTACACCAACGTGGTATCTTACGGAAGGTACATCACAGCCCCAGTAAGACCAGCTGGAACTAGTATGCTTGTCACAGGTGACGTAACCGTACAGGTGAACCAACTTTATGGCTGCTAAGTTACCGGAGGGAACATAAAACCTGCCGGGCCGTTCATCGAGTGCACTAAAGCACACTGCTCCGTAATTCAGCTTCCTCCAGCGGCCTGTTAAAGAAACAAAAAGCGATAAATGAAAAGTTTAGTTCTCTTTCGTAAAACAGCCTAAAATTTAACCGTCAACCGTCATAAAAGGCATTCATTACTAGCTGTCAAACGGTTTGCAGGTCTTTCAAATTTCACTATTTCAGCTGATCATCTCGGACTTCTAGATGTCAAACAATCGATTTAACTGGTAGACCGCCGTGAACCGCCAAAATCGGTAAAATTTAATAGTCATCCGTCAAAGTTATCCCGGCATCCCCTGTTGGGACCCCGGCCCCGTGCAAGGAATGATGGACCAAAATGAAAATTTATGCTCCTTAAAAGGAGCAATGTTCAGTCAAAATACCGTTGTTACTAAGTTGTTACGGTTTCCAGATGGAAATATTGTGCAGACAAATGCATGTGAAATAGTTAACACGGCGTGGGATAGAGGTTCATCGGGCGGTCGCGTTACCAAACCAGCCATCTCAGTACAGTTGCAGCAGGAACGGCTTGGAAACTAAAATTTGATAGTATTTTGTTTTGAATAAGGGTATGGGCATGATTTTCAGTTGAACATGCCTACCGAGCGTAAAAATCGCATCCAGTCTGAGGATTAATGAGAGAGGGAAAATTTTATATATTTAGGCATGACAAAATTCAAGGGAACATTGGTACTTAGAAATAACATCTCATAGGCATGGAAAAAATGGGTTCATGCCCTCGCAGCCCAAAATTGACCCAGCTAAACTTAGGTCCCAGATCTCTCGCCGGGTTAATAATTCATTCCCAGTTTTAGCTCCTCTGGTTTGGCATGCCGGGCATGCCGATGGTGAAGCCAGTTGGTTTGGCATGCCC